GGATGGTTTTAATTTCATGAGGATTCTTAATTAGGTTAAGATAAGAATAGGTGCTCACGTGTCATCTTCTTGTCACCTTCTAATACGATAGGGCACATGAGTAATATTTTTATATACAACACATGTCGTGCATTTAGATGACACGTTACTTTTTTGTGCCTTTAGGAGAACAACCAATTTCTCATTAAATATAACAAGTATAAAGCTCGCACGGATTGTTTTGATTTATTTGGTTTATAAATGTTCGTTTATATGCCCCTTGAATACGTTAAGCTACCCTAGTACAATAAGAGTGATGATCGATTATATTGTTTGTGGACTATAATTTACAGATCATCTATTAACTAATATATTAAATGCTTACCAAGGAAGAGAGAATGAGTATCTCTTTTTACTAGGTTATGAGAAGAAGAGAATAAGAGTTTTTTCTTATTAGTTAAAGTAGATGGCTTGAGTGATATGGTTTTTCTTAGATAAATTAAAATCTTAAGTTGAAATTCAAAACTAGATAGCTTAACATCAATCTCTCATTTACAAATACAAATAAAAATTAACGATTTTAAAAAAAATCACTGGGGTTTCAACGTCCCAAGATTTCAATCAATGCTTATGGTTGGTTCATCCGAGATTGAGACACGAATATGATTAGAACTTTTCTCTAATCCTTGAATAGGTAGTAGGAAGTTCCGTCATGCCCTAGTATAAGGACATTGGACTTCCCATGACCATTATACTCTCTCATCTCTCGCATTACCCACACCAATGTATTATGATAGGAAATAACGTGTTTAAGATGGCAGCTCAATTTGCTAAATGAGTACTAAGAGATAGCCATGTTGTGAGACACACCCTCCTTATCACATCAAAAAATCTCACAACTTGCATCTTTTGGTAGCCCATTTTGTTGCATGAGCTACCACCTAGTAACTATCAATCTCATTATAATATAATATGTTAGATTAGGTGGTCATTTGTTATTTTAGAATTTTTTGGGATGTTTGCAAAGTTTTGAGCGTTATTTGTAATTTTTAAAAATTTCAAGGGGGTTCGTTGTAAAGTTTTTAGGGAGCTATTCTATACAATTTTGTGGGATTATTTGTAATTTGCAAAACTTTCAAGGGACTTTTTTGTAAATTTTTGAGGTTTTTTGTAAATTTTTAAGGCATTATAACTAATATTTTGAAATATTCATCACGATGTTTGTTACTTCAGCAAGTTTCATGGGGTTCGTTGTACAATTTTTAACTGGATGTTTGTAAAAATTTTAACAGGATATTTGCTTTTCGAAACTTTCAAGGACGGGCTGGTTGTACAATTTTCAAGGGTTTGTGTGTAGAAATTCAGGGATCATTTCTACTTTTAGAACTTATCAGAGGCTTGTTCATAATTTTTGGATTTTCTGGGTTTGTTTATAATTTATGGATTTTAAAAAGCAAATTATAATTTTCTAAATTTTATAGTGCTATTTGTGATTCTGAGATTATCATGGATTTATTCATATTTTATGAATCTTAAGGAGTTTGCGAGTTTCATAGGGCTATTTATAATTTTAAAAAATATTTGTAGGGTGTTTGTAACTTTTTAAACTTTTAAGAACCATTTGTAAAATTTTAGGGAGATTTTTATAATATTTCAAATTTTCAGCAAGGTATCTATTTTTTCCTTTTTCCTTTTTTTTTTGCAACTTTCATAGGGCAAGTAGTATTATTTTGAAAAGACTATTTGTAAAATTTCTAGGGAATATTTGTAATTTTTGAAGCTTTCAAGGGGCTAGGGCTGGCTATAAATTGCTCAAGGGGTTTCTTATAAAACTTTAGGGGACTTATCGATGTCAGGTATCAAACAGGGTGGTTATCTGTGGATTATAATGGTGTTAGAGTCCTCAAACTTCCCCAGATGACTGGTTCTAGAGCCTAACATTCTCTCCTATACATGAAAAGCTCGTGACAATCCGGAGTTGTGTTCTCCGATTATTCCTCTGACGATCAAGTTAGTGTTTGAACTTGAGTGGGAAAATGTGGTGAGTGATGAAAAGTTGCTCAGAATTGTAGGAGAGAGATTACCTTAGGCAGCACAACTTTCTTTTATAGTAGATTGAAAAGGAAAATATGTAATGTTGACCGAATCCAGACAAGTAGCTAAATCGAGAGATACCTTATAGGTGTCGGCGACTAAAGAAGATGAGGCATTCAAGCGTTTAATGTGAAGGCAACAGCAAGTGCTTAGTGCTGACTATGTCCGATGAGTCATAAAGATTATGAAGGCTAGAGCAATGATGACTCTAATAGCGCATTTAAGGCGATGGTAGTCGGCTATCGGCAGGGCCTCTTTAGCCATCACTAGCTGAAGGGCCACAAACACCGCCTTCCTTCAATCGGCTACCGGTACGCAAGTTGTCGGCTGGAATGGCAAGCCGAATGCGGATGCCTGCAACGTCAATCTGATGGGTAGGCCAACAAACACCGTCTTTTTAGTCGGCTACACAGATTGTCGGTCTATTAGGTCGGCCGTAGGAGCAGCTCGAGTCGTACATTTTTAGATACGTCTGATTAGGCGTAGAACGGGACACGTCTCGGCCTCCTGATAAGGTTAGTACTTAGTTGTTTGTAAGCTATAACAGGACTTTGTAATTTTTGAACTTTTTATAGGACTTCCGTAATTTTTGGATTTTCTAAAAACTATTTGCAATTTATGGATTGTAAATGGGACAATTTATAATTTTCAAAATTTTAGAATGCTCTGGGATCTATTTGTAATTTTTGAATTTTAAGGGATAGTTTGTAAATTTTTCACTTTTACGAGCCCGTTTGAAATTTTATATTTATTAGGATGTTATTTTGAAGTTCTTTGTAATTTTTTGGATATTTATAGGATTCTTTGTAATTCTTTGGGTTTTGAAGGGCGCATTAGATAATTTTTCTGATCTAGACCTTTTATATAAATGAGGACTTTGATTAACAAAATTTTTAAAATATGAAAAGTTTTAATTTGATAAAGATTCTTAAGTAAAGAAGAGTAGAAATGAGGGTTTTTATCATTAGAAGTTTTTAATTAAGGATTGTTTTCATTTAATTAGGATTCTTAGGTGAAGATATGATTAAATACCAATATGTGAATTTATGATAGGTCATAGGTGATATGATTATATGATTTTTTTAATTATAGATAGTTATAATTTGATTAAGATCATTAATTATTTGATTATTAGAATTTTCTAACTATGCATAGTTTTAATGTGATGAGAATTCTTAATTGTACACGTGTCATCTTCTAATAGGATGGAAGGCCACATGGCTATTTTTTGACATGACACATGTCATGTATTTAGATAACTCACGTCAATTTTTTGTGCTTTAGGAGAACCACTAATTTCACATTATATCTAAAAGCGAAATAAAGGAAGGATAAATAGAGGATAATACATATAATATACATAATATATAATATATAAAATATTAGATTATTATAATTTCTAATTATGGTAGTCTTAATTTGATGAGGATTTGTATGTGAATATAAAATTAGGTGTTTATATGTTATCTTCTGATAGGATAGAGAGATACAAAGGTACTTATGATAAGACACATGTAGATTTTTTGTGCCTTTTATAATATGACACGTGTCAGTTTTTTCTGCCTTTAGGAAATCCACCAATTTCGCTTTAAATATAAAGGAGGGATTTGACTAGGATTACCAAAAATTACGTATTCATATATGTCATCTTATGATAAGATAAGGAGATAAGTGGGTACTTATGATATGAACATGTCGGTTTTTTTTTCTTTTGCTCTTTATGAGACAAAACATTTCAATTTTTGTTCCTTTAGAAGTTCCACCAATATCCCTTTATATATAAAGGAGGGATTTGATTAGGATTACCAAATATTTGATTATTAGAATTTTTTAATTACAAATAGTTTTAATTTGATAAGAATTCTTGGATAAATATAAAATTAGGTGTCTATATGTCATCTTCTGATAAGATAGAAGAACACATGATAATTTTTGATATGACACGTATCATGCATTTAGATGATACATGTCAGTTTTTTTGTGCCTTCAGAAAAATCACCAATTTCTCATTATATAAAAAGGAGGGAAAGGACGGATACAGTCCCTAACATATGTGAAAAGTGCAATATGAGCTGTTTGGTTCATGAAAAGCTGTACTTTCCAGATATCATTTGCAAAACTGCAAATGCAGGTGCAACAATATATATCGTTTGATTGAATCTGCAGCCTTTGCAGTAGACCTTTTCTGTAAAAGTCACTTGCAGTCAATTTGAACAGAAGAAGTTTTCGCAAAGAAAAACAAAGACATTTTTTAGCTGGTCATAAGTTTTGCAAACAGTGACTTTTTGTAACAAAAACTGCCAGAAACAAACAGCTGCAGTTACAACTACATCTGTTCTCTTTACTTTCTTTGCTTTTCTCCCCCAAATTGCAGATACAACCAAACCACTCCTTTGTATCAGAAATGTTAAACTCATCAGACGCTGAAATTCAGCGAGAGATAACAAGAGATGCCTAACTCATTTTCAAATGTTCCATATTCTAAAAAGTGACTTTGAGAACGATAGAGCTCTTTTCACATCCTACCACCCAGTGAACTACCATCACTTTTATATAGTTTTAGCTTTTGACATGCAAATGGTTTTCAATGCAACAAAAATCTTTAAACCAAGCATGGACCAGAAACTGGCAGGTTTGCTTTAGTATATCTGAGGAGATTACTCAACTTTTCAAAAGAAGTGGTAAAGAATTCAGTCAAAATTTTGTCCATTGCACACAAATTAATATAGAAATACCAAGAACTGAATGCACACAAGACCATAGTGGCCGGAAAGTCAATTGCAGATAATATGAAGGTCCATGGACAAAAGGCTTTCTTTCATTTATTGACTTCAAGAAATTAGAAAATTAGAATCTGTTGAAAGTTAAATGCAGCAACTATACAACATTTTAAAGGATATCATTGTATTGAATAAAAAAAATATTACCTCAATTTTCAGGAGCTCCTTCTGCAGTGCATTCCTAAGCTGGTCGGTTTCCTAGAAATTTTGGTCATTCAGCTTTGATTACATAGATTTAAAAAAAAAAAGCAGAAGATATACAAAAAAGATTATACTAAGAAGAATCATTGGCTAAAACTTGCAACTGCTTTAAAAATCATAACCGCATGAATCTTAGAAATGCTTATGAAAACATTGGTGCAGAGTGTAGCAACAGTTACAAGATATATGCACTAATTCATATAAAGGAAAGGTATGAAGAATTATAGGAAGTTGAAACACGAAAACAGTTGACAAAAGTAAGAAAAATGACCAAAGCAAACCTGGCAAATGTTCCCTTCTTTAAGATAACTAGTTTTTATGCACGTGCAATGCACGTGGTTAAATATCAAAATAATTTATTTTTTTTATTACTATTACTATAAATAAATCAGGTTCATTTTAATTATTAGATTTGCTATAATTTTTATTTAAACATTATAAAAAATTTGATGTAATGGATTTTTGTGCTAAACTAGGATCAATATACTTATCTGGGATATCATAATTGATTTCCGCAGAAAAAAAAAAGACATCAGTTAACATAATAATATCTTCAAGCAGAATAGTAAAAAAGCAGAATAGTAAAAGAAAATAAGTTAAATTGATACTACATGTCATATTCTAAACTCTACTAATCCCAAGCTATAGTATGGAGTCAATGATGAATAACAATATCATTATGAACTATAGTTCTAGCAATAAAAAAATAAGTCAATGATGAATAACAATATCATTATGAACTATAGTTCTAGCAATAAAAAAATAACATTTCTTATTGTATTGAAAATAGAATTACACTGCACTTTTCAACATTATAAGCTCGTGTTTTATAATAAACAATCTTAAAAGCAAACATAAAAAAAGAAGTACAATAAACATGATATATATATGAGATCTCAACCTACATTATTTGATACACTTAAAATAATAAAAAGACAAAAACTAAAGATTAATGGTAACTATAGTATAATTTTATGTGATAAAAGCAATCACATAAGCATACAAAAATACTAAAATTTTTGTATGAAAATTCCTTCTAAAAATTCCTAATTTTACTTTAAAATTAAGTTATAGTATAAAATGTTCAAAAAATATTATCATTAATTCATTTTATTTTATATTTTAATTGAGCCGAGATCAATTTTTCTCCACATTTATCTTTTTATTGAGCAATTCTAGAGTAGCGTCTTCATCATCTACATCAATTGTGATATCAGGTTAGAATTGAATTTCTTAAAATTAATCTCTTCAAATAATGAAATCCAACACCAAAATCAACCTATTTGTCTTCTGCTTCCCCCCCCCCCCCAAAAACCATAACCCTAATCCATGAAATAGGTTTGTACATAATGAAGAACAAAAGACAATGTCAAGAGACAAAAAAGAAAAAAGAAGGAATTGAATAAAAATCGCTAGGTTTGTTCATGATAAAGAGCAAAAGACAATATAAGAGTTTAAAAATATATTAAGATATACTTGGATCAATTATATTATATTATTACTCATAATTGATATGCATAAGAGACAAAAATGTGTTGACAATCTTAAACTATAAAACAAACTGTATGGGCCATCTAACATAATTTTTTAATGCAAGCAACCCCAAAGATTAATTTTGAAGATCTCTTGGTTTTGTAGAAGAGTTTGAGTGTAAAGAACAAATGTTATTATCTAATCTGATTAAAGTAGGATCATATAAGTTAACCCCACACATGAAATTTATTTTAACCAAAATCCATATATAAGTTTTATAATTGGCATTAAGATCAAATATGCGTGTGAGATTCTCTTTAACTTTTATACAAACAATATCTATTTAAATAATAATAGTATAATTAAACTTTGTGATTTGAAAAAAAAATCAAACATACAATATAATTAATTACTTTAAAATAATCTAATCTAATTTAATAAGAAGAAAATTGATGAAAGTACTGAGAAAGTTATTGCAATTTTATAATTCATAATTCTTAAACAATCTAATCTATTCTAATAAGAAGAAAATAACAAAGACACATACTTGTTAAAGAAGATAAAAATACTATAAAAATTATTGTAATTTCTTAATCTGAAAAAAAAAAAGATCAAATATACAATATAAATAGTTTTTTAAAAATAATCTAATCTAATCTAATAACAAAGGCACATCATGCCAGTAGAAGGAGATAAAAGTGTTATAGAAATTATTGTAATTTATTGACTTATATATATTGGTATATGATGTTGTATGTGAGAGAATAACAATTATAAATAGAGTTTTATTTAAATAATAATAGTATAATTAAATTTTAAAACTAACTATGCAGCACTTTGAACTATTTTAATTTTAGTCGGTGAGAGATTACCACTTTGTGTAATTATTAATAAATCTTCTAATTTAATAAATCGTCTAATTTACCTAAGTTGTTCTTTCATTCAGGTTTACATTTTAATTTAAACTATATCATTATCTTCATACTATGTATATCGAAGTCATCAATTTATTTACTTACTCTTACTTAATGGATTAGTATTTGAATTTTAATGGTATTTTTGTCTACTAAGTTTTTTCCGAACACGTGCTTTTAAAGGGAGTATGATTTTGCTAACTGGTCAGGACACTTAAAATAATGATGATGATTATTCCAATTCCAACTGACGTTTTTCCCCTATTTTGCGTTATATGCATCGTTAATATTTTTGGGTTGTTTTGATTTATTTTAGTTTGGATTAAACTAGGCCTCTGCCACAAACCAAACTAAGCCAAACCATTTTGCTCAGTTGAATCTTAGTTCTTAACCAGATTCAGCTTGGTCAAAATCGGTCTGTAAAATTTGTTCAGTCTCATATTTGGAAGAAGCAAGAAAAACCAAAACTGAGAAATGTTCATCCGTTTGTGGTGCCTGTGATATAGGTGTATCTTCTTCCTTACTTCGGGAGCTTAGCAATCTTCATGGGAGCTTGAGGATACATGATTCTCATGAGATCTAGAGAATAGAGACGTGGACGAAGTCATTGAAGACAGCAAAGGCGAAGATTACGAAAGAAACTACAGTAAACGTTTTGAGCTTCCAGCGATCGACCGCACGTGACGCCGCGGTCGACCGCAAACGTGCAAAAATCCTGGGAGGCCTCTGGACTTTTGGCAGTCGACCGTAGTAACGTGTGCGGTCGACCGGCCAAACCCTGTAATGGGTTTTGGTTTCTGTCGTTGGGTCCGGTCGATCGCGATGGTCTTTGCGGTCGACCGCGATGGTTTCCTAAGCCTTCCTGGTTCGTTTGGGACTCTGTTTTCCTGTTTGATTTTAGTTTGTTTAATTACAAGTTTGTCATCCACATTGTAAACTCTATAAAGAGGATTGTTTTAGGGTTCTAAACAATCAGAGAAATCAGAGAGGTGGGATCCTAACCAAGAGATTAGGGTTTAGAGAGAATTGAGAGATTGTGCTTGATTCTAGAGAAATTATGAGTGAGGGATTTGTAATCTATTATTCTCATAATCTAAAGAAGGTGTTTTTCTTCGCCAAAACTGAATTGTTCTTGTGTTTTCTATCGTCTTCTTCTCAACTCACTCTTGATAATTCCGCGATTAAGAATGCTCGTCCGACAACTCGTATCAAGTTGGTATCAGAGCGATTAGATTTTGTGAAGGGGGATCCTGTGTATGGTCTTGACTCGATCGTAATACAAGAAGCTAGGCGAGATCCTTATTTCTTGAGAAGGAGTTACGAGATTAAGGAAGAAGAATATGGCTGAAGAGGATAATTCAGCGAGACTTGATGCATTGGAGAAACAGATAAAGATAATGGGTTCGACTCTCACACAGCTCGTTAATCTTTTCCAAAAAAATAACAAAAAGGAGGAATCTTCTTTGAAAGGTAAGAAGAAACTTGTAGTCTGATGGGGAGGGTGAGAAATCTGATTCTGATGAGGAGACCGAGATTTTCAAGACTATTCCGCATCAAGGGGGTAAGGGTTCTTACCAGAATTTAAAAATAGACTTCAATGTGGAGATTCATATTTATGATGGGAGTGTTAACGTCGAGAGGCTTAATGATTGGATCGAGCGGATGGAGACATATTTTACCCTCTACGGATATTCATCCAAGGAGAAGCTTATGTTCGCGACTTTAAAGCTTTCAGGGCATGCATTGACATGGTAAAAATCCTATTACAAGCAGGAAAGAAAGACGGTGTCGTGGAATAAGTTTAAGAAACTATTGCAAAAGCAATTTTATCCGGTGGGATTCCCTGAGGAGCGTTGGTATAAGTGGTACGGCTTGTACCAAAGAGTCAATCAAACCGTACAAGAATACACCACGGAGTTCCAACAACATGCAATGGTCCTCAATATTACGATGGAGGAATATTTTGTGTTTATGAAGTATATAGTGGGTTTGAGCGAGTACATCCGGAAAGAGATGAAGCTATTCATGGTGGAATGTATTACAGAGGTGAGCGTGAAGGCTATTGCCATTGAAGGCAAGCAGAAGAGGAGCAACGAATCCAAAGGAGAGGCTAAACAAACTGGAGGCGAGTCTAGTGGTTCTTAATCTAAGGAGGAGGAGAAGAAGGATGATCCAGAGAAAACAGAGCTGATTTGTAGTCATTGCGAGAAGACAGGACACGTAACTGATCGGTGTTGGGAGAAGTATTCACATCTCAAACCAAGGGGGTTGAAGGAGGAGAAAAACATACGTGATAGCTCAAGTTCTGAAAGAAGTCTCGGGGATGACAAAACCCAATAATAGTCCCAATCTTATGACAGGGAAACAGATCACAAAGAAGGATGATGATCCTAGAGAGCAGTTCTTTGTTCTTAAGTTGCAGGTAAAGACCAATTTGGTTGATGTCGTAGTTGATCCAGGTAGCGAGAAGAATTTGATATCCGAGACCTTTGTTCAGAAACTGGGTCTGAAGACAGTCAAGCATCCAAAACCCTATCCATTGGGGTGGATTCAAAAGGAGACGGGACTGAGTATAGTTGATCAATGCACTTTCAGATTTGAGCTTCATGAGTCGTATATTGATGAGGTCACGTGCGATATAGTTCCATTGGATGTTTGTTAGATTATACTAGACAATCCCTATTTGTGGGATAGATACGCGATCTACGAGAGGCGGGCTCAGAAGTACACATTCACCAAAGATGGTGAAAAATTCATATTTCGTTCAGCATCTCTTCCGAAAGAGACAAGCTTGGTGACGGTGAACCGGGCGAAGAGGCTAACGAATGCAAGCAAGAAGTTTGATGCGTTATGCATTAGTTCTTATGATGAGCCACTAAAAGAGGGTTACAATTTGGAGCGGAATGTGACTACGATGAAACGCGGGACGAATGGATTGTTTCCGATCGGACGTCGAGACCAAATTCCTAGCAAGGCTAAGTGGTTCAGAAAAGATGGAAGAGCTCGCGAGTTCCCTCAGCTAGAGTTCTAACTTGAACGGGACTTCAAGTTCCTAAAGGAGGGAGCCATGATACAGGTATATCTTCTTCTTTGCTTCAGGAGCTTAGCGATCCTTATGGAAGCTTGAGGATAAATGATTCTCATGATATCTAGAGAATAGAGACGTGGACGAAGTCATTGAAGGTGGCAAAGACGAAAATTACGAAAGAAATTGCAGGAAACGTTTTGAGCTTCCAGCGGTCGACCGCACGTGACGTCCCGATCGACTGCAAACGTGTAAAAATCCTGGGAGGCCTCTCGGCTTTT